AAATGGAACTTTTGGAACTGTCATACATGTGTATGTGCTCTTATCACCAATAATTAATATTGGATGTATACAATAAGATACTTGGTAGAATAAAAAGAACTATAGTCATGATTAGAGAAAATTTCATGGATCCCAGAAAGCAATGTTTCAGCTAAAGACAAAAAATATAAAATCTAAAAGAGTGTTTTGTAGTCCATTCCCTTAGAAATTACATTTTTCCATAATGCTCAATTATAAAAAATCTTGAAAAACTAATTGATAATTCATTCCTTTTAACACATCATTTAACTAGACTACTTGTACTGCTTAATTATCCAAAGAGGTCATAAATCAATTAAGCTGGGATTAATAATAATTTATGATGATAATAATGATAATTAGCATTTATATATGACTATAAAGTTTACAAATGCCTAAATCAAAATACCTGGATACAATTATGATATAAGGCTTTCTCTTATTTAGATAGAAAAGTAAAATACACCCAACATGTATTTTATAATTAAATATTTGCTCTGATTGTGCTCTATGAACTTCACAGTCCTCTGTTCTTTAAAAATGCATGAATTTCCATGTTCATACATAAGCTAGAGAATATTCACAGACACCATAGCAAGTATCATTGAATCAAGTTTATCATTTATCCACTGTAATGATGATGGTGAAGTAGATGATAACAATAATGATTTCTCTCAATCCCTTCAAATTATATCAGAGACATGTGTAGGTTTTAAAGACAGAGTATAGAGAATTATTTGAAATCTTTATTTAAAGAGTCACTTACTGTTACTATTGTAAATCAGCTACCAGATGCTCAAGGCCTCTAGATGCTTTAATAAACATTCCTTGAAGAAAACAAAACAACTTATATAAAAAAACAAATTGGAAGGTATAACTGTCACATGATTTCTTGGGGGTCCAAACCTCCTAATTTCATTGACTATGGAAAAAGAAGCAGATAATTAAGACAAACTTTGGTCAGCTTCTGTTAAACCAAGGACCGGAAAATAACACAGCTGGAGACAATTCTGAGCAAAATGATTAGAATCCTTTTTACCTTAACTAAAGCCTTGCTAACAAGTTGATACCACTGATTTTCAGCAATTAAACAGAGAGCATTTAATAAATCAGTAGGCCAATATACTTTGAAATATTCGTGAACTACAAACCATTGTCATTTTTGAAGAACAGAGGCTTTTTTATATAGTTACAGGAGAAAATGTATTGATAGGCCAGAATTGTTTAAATGAATGATTTCATTTAGTTATTAATAAAACACTATCCAGGTGCCAGCAGACTTAATCAGCTGATGTAGATGCTTGTGGAATAAATTGGTGCATTGTACAAAAGGCGTAAACTAGTAAATGCTAAAAATGAGAATGTTCAGTGCCATAAAATTCAGGTATTTCTAAACACAGCATCACCTACCCTTTTAAAATGTATTACATTTTAATACATATTCTCCAAAATGAGTAGTTAAGAGACCACTATGACTTGTTAATAACAGTCCCCAGAACCCTGTGAAAAGTTGCATTATAAACACGGATGTTTGCTTGCTTACTTGCCAGCAACTTTTGATGAACACATAAAGCCTTTTCCCTGGGACATATCTATTCCTTTATAGAGGTTTCCCTAATTCTTAAATAATGAACATGGTCCTCTGGAAAACTACCAAGCATATTAAATATTTGGAAGACTTAATGAAAACACTGTTACACATTTTTTCAATAAAAAAATATATCTGCCTGCCTCCACCACCCCACCCCAATAATTTTTGCAGTCCCAGACTAATACCAAAAAGTATTAGAAACACACTCATTGCTGATCTAAATGAACATACTTCATACACTCTCTTCTAGATGCCCACGGAGCAGCCATTCCTGAGGGACAAAATATAACGAGAAAAAGACGTAGTCTAAACTCAAAGCCAACATAAAAGCTACACTCATTCCCATACACTCATTCTCATACACTCTGAAATCAATTACACAGTCCAATTTGTTTTTACCAGCAGGAAAAGGCAAACCTGGTTAGAGGGCTTCAGCACCCATACACCCTCTCCAGGACCTACATCTTTAGCTAACTATGACATAGCTACTTCGAAGAAACAATTAGACACACCTGCTTAAAGTGCCCTGTGCTCTGTTCACACTCTGCGTAGTATCTTAAAGTGACAGCATATTAAAATGTCAATGCAAATCTTTGGCATTTTTTGGCTATTTAGAACATCTGAAAGCACAATTAAAGACACTGCTGTTATATAACTGAATTCAATTCACAGCCTAAAAAGTATAATAACAATCTCAAAAAGAACATTAAAAGAAACTTTACATAAACTCAAAACCTACTGATGCCTTCAATGTGTATTTGTAATATTTGTCATTGGCTGTGTAACTTCTACCCAACATATATTCTTCGGGAAATATGGACATAATTGTCATTTTAATTACTACCAAGACAAATAAACAAATGACTCAGCTGACCATATTTAGCTCTAAACGACTTTCCATATTCATGAGAAGCCCTCACTGAATTTTTACAGGGAAACCAAACAGACTGAATTTGAATATAATGAAATGGCATCAGCACAAATGAAATAGGATCAAATTGCTTCCATGCACTGAAACCGTAAAATTGTAAATCTGTAAAGATACATATTCTTGGCAATAAATTGTGAAGCTTTTTTTCCCTGAAAATCATGACTGCTATGAGAAATTTCGACTGCATAAGTACTGAAGTACTCCAAATAAAATGTTATCAAGGAATTTGGCACTAAAATCCTAAAACAAGACTTCAAGGGAAAAAACATGTAATTAAGTTGTTCTTTTAAAGATGTGAATGATAAGATTTGAATCACATATTTTAGATAAATCCTTGGCAGGGCCATAGACTTCCTCTGAAGTCCCCCAAAGAAAGCTCTATAGTTTTAAAATGAGAGAAGTTGGCTCAACTTACGTCTTACCCCATGAAGTATTTTATAACTGATTACCTGAATGACTCACCTTAATATCACATTATTTCAATTTTCCAACTTTCTGTAAACAACACTTCGAGTACATTCAAGCAGAGCATTCTGAAGATATCATTTCAATTTCTCAACTAAGTATGACAGTCTGATCCCTGAACAACTGCCAGAAATTCTGGATACATCTCATTTAAGGAGTTGGCTTGATCCCATTAACCCCTGGGACCCATACTCCTAGACCTTGTCTCCAAGCACCCTAGCCTCTACCTATTTCTTTTAGAAGGTGGTTCACCCACTGGGACACAATTAGTATACTCCTAGATGCAAACTTCAGCTAACTTTACTAAGTAGTTGGCTATGTAGAGAAACATGCTTTAGTAATTGCAGTTGCCCCATTTTGGCTCTGTTGGGCCAGGGACTCATGGCATAGCTTTTTAAAAGCCTTCCCACTGGCACCATATCAGCCAACACTCTATTTATTCAGAGGTTTTAGACTGTTCTCTGAGACCCTTGGACAAACAGTGCTGCATTGTACGTCCAGTGCTGCTGTTCCACTTGGATTGCAGAGCACAGTTCAAGCATCCTCTCATTTTCTCTTCTTTTACATGATTTAGGTAGGGGTGATACTCTCTTCAAATATGGAAACCAGAAGCACAATGCTCACCTTCAGGATTCTCTTTAGCTCCTGTTTGACAGTCAGTAGTTTTCTATGCCTTACATTTCCAAATGATTTCTTTAAGGGCAGCCCCATGAAAAGCAAACACTTGGCAATAGTTAGGCTTGGATTGCTCCCAGAGGGTAATCAAGCATTTGCCTAGAGTTATGAGAAGGGGGGTAAACTGCATTCTTTGTACTTTTCCAGGGCAAGGGAGAGAAGGTAGGTATTTGCCACCCTTGGAAACTCTAATTATTAGTAGTTTTAGCATTACAAGACTCAGCCTAGCCTTATTATATGGATACAGTCCAATGCTGAAAGTAGCCTCCAGGCTACAGGAATACAGCTCAATGTGGCAAAGTCCACTTCTGAAACCAACCACATCTTGCCCCAACCATTTAGACACTCTATTTCCAATGCCATCACAAGCAAACTGTCAGGGTAGTGAATGTCAAATAAGATGCTAAGAAATACTATATGAAAGGCCAGCTATATGAAAGTCACATGAAATAGATATAGACATAGGTATATAGTTAGAGATATAGATATAGATATGACTGAGAAAATAACTTGGAACCCTACATTTTCTCTGTTCATTGCTTCATTCCTACTCTCATTCATATTGTTTCTTTTTCCTCACATCTCTATCAATCTTTATTAATCTCTGTCTCCCTGTCTCTGTTTGTCTTGCTCTATCTCTCTCTGTCTCTGTGTGTGTGTCTCTCTCTCCATCTCCACCTTTCCCTCAAGTTCCTCTTTCATCATTTCTTGTAGCATAATATACCATAATTCTTTTCATTTTTTTTGCAATTGATGGGCACCCCCTTACTTTCAAGTTCTTTGCCACCATAAAAAGAGCTATTTAAAAAAAAAGGCATATAGAACCTTTTCCTCTTTCTCTGATCTCTTTAGGACATAGGCCTAGCAGTGGTACCAATGGGTCAAAGGGTATACACAGCTGAGTAACTTTTGAGGGGAATAGTTTCAATTTCCTTTCCAGAATGACTGTACTAATTCTTATAGCTCCATCAATAAGGAAGTACCTGTTTTCCTATGGTTTCAACCTTGTTTTCAGAATTTTGTCACTTTTTTCACCAACTTTGCTGATGAGATAGTTGTGTAGTGGAACCTCAGAGTTGCTTTTACTTCCATTTTCTAATTATCAGTGATTTGGAGTATTTTTAAATGGTTATAGATAGACTAGATTTCTTCCCTTGAGAGCTGCCTGCTCATATCCTCTAGCCATTTGTCAGCTGAGCAATGGCTCTTATTCTAAAAAATTTGAATTAGTTCCTTCTATATTTGAAATGACATCCTTATCAGAAAAACTTGCTGCACAGATTTTCCCCAGGTAACCATTTCACTTCTAATGTTAGTTGCAAAAATATTGAATGCTTGGTGAATTTGAGTATTATTCTTTTGCAGGGGAAAGCTAATCTCTGTCTCATTTCAATTTTTGTATACATGCTGCTGAAGTGAGCACTGTTTCATATTTTTATCAATGACTTGGATAAAGGCATAAATGGTATGATGGCCAATTTTGCAGATGATTCAAAACTGGGAGAGATAGATAGCACAATGGATCAGGATCACAGAATCAGGATCCAAACGGATCTTGACAGGCAAGAGCCTTGAGATAAAATTAATAAAATTCATTGGAGACAAAAGTAAAGTCTGACATCTGGGTACAAAACTTTAACTACACAAATATAAGACAGGGGAAGCCTGGATGGACAGCAATTGTTCTAGAAAGAATTTAGGGGGAGGGAGAGGACTGAAAACTCAGTATGAGTCAGGAGTATGATGAAGCAGGCAAAAAACAAAACAAAACTGATGCAATCTTCTGCTTGCAGAAGCAGGAAGATTATAATCCTACTGTACTCTGCCCTTTCAGATCTCAAATGGAGTATAGTGCTCAGTTATAGGCACCATAATTTGCAAAGAAAATTGGCAAGCTAGAGAGTGTCCAGAGGACAAATGGGATAGTAAAGGGTTTAAGTCCAGGTCATATGAGAAGACACTGGGCATGTTCATCTTGGAGAAAGAAGATTTAGGGGGGACATTATAGTTCCCCTGACTTGTGGAGAAGGTATAAAATTTGTTCTGTTTAGCCCTAGAAGTAAGAACCAGGAGTAATAGATGGAAACTTAAAGTGCAATTGGCTAACTAGGGAAGTAATGGATTCCCATTCCCTGGAGGTTTGCAAGCAAACACAGGATAGAAAATGGCTTGTCATGTATATTACCGTGAGGATTCCTTCATATATGTATTGGACTAGATGACCACTGACATCCCTTCCAGCTCTGAAATTCTGTGATTCTGAACTACCAAGAGAATTAAGGGAGAGAATTCTCAGCCACATTGATTTATGAGTGGATTTTATCAAGTATTCAAGGGATAATTAATGCCTGTTACAAAAATAATCTCAAAAATAGATGTGTAAGTACTCTAGCAAATACCTGGGGTTTTTATGAGACAAATATAGTTCTAATCTCCAAACCAGGGAGAGACATACCCCCAAAAAAGAACTACAAACTAATTTTACAAACTAATGTTGGTGTGAAAATGAAAATGTAGTACTTGTAAAGAGACTATAACTATATAATCAGAAAGTAATTCACTCTGAGCAGGGTAAATTCATACCGGGGATGAAAGAATGGCTTAACTTTAGTACAATTGGACTTCTAAGAAAATCCTTAGCAAAGAAGCCAAACCAATGATATAAGTCCTAATTCCCCAGACTAATCAAAACTTGAAGATGAACCTCTGATGATCTCTCTTCTTTTCTCTTGGATGTGTGGCTTGAAACTGTCCCCTAGGACTTTCAATGGAGAGATTCTGGGAGGAAGGATCATAGAGCAATATAGTTAGAGCTGGAAAGACCCTTAACTGCCACCTAGTCCAATTGTCATTTTACAGAAAGGGAAGCTGAGACTCAGAGAGATTAATTTATTTGCCCATGGTCATCTAGCTAATGTCAGAGGAAGGATTTGTACCTAAGTATTCCAGACTTCAAGTCTAGTACTTTTTCTACTACACCAAATTATCTATCATAAGGGAAATTTTTTTTCCCCTACTCCATCACTTTGAAATGATGGTGACTTTGAATAAATGTGCTACACAAGCCTAAGCCTGAGCCTTGGATTTCTGCATGCATCTTCCACTTTGTAATTCTTTCATTGAACATAAATACCTGAACAGCAATTCTAGACAAAGTAAACCTTTTGTTAACTGTTCAATGACTTACAGGTGTCTAATTTTGTCCCAAAATGAAACCTAAATTAACAGGGCTAGTGTTAGGTCCATTTGTAATAGACCTCTATTACCAAACATATATTAAACAAAATTCATTATCTTTTCTTCCAAACCTTCCCCTCTTTCCACCTTTCCCATTACTATCGAAAGAGCCACTCCCCTCTCTGTCAACCAATCTCCTAACCTCAGTGTCATATTCATCTCCTCTGTTGTACTCAGTTCCCATCATTATTCCCCTACAATATCTCTCCCATACATCCTGTTCCCTATAATCACACAGCCATCACCCTGGTGAGGCCCTCATCTCACTCATAGACTTTGAGATAGCCTGTTAATTGGTCTCCCTTCCTTTTCTCTCCTCACTCCAGGCTACCCTCCACACAACTGCCAAAGCTCAGATCTGACCACTTCATTTTCCTACCTGAAAAATCCCAATAATTCCCTATTACCTCCAGGATCAAATATAAAAATCATGGTGATATGTTGTAGATTTTGATAATATTTCATTTAAAAATAGATGCCAATGTTCATTCATTAGTGATATTGACCTATAGTTTTCTTTCTTTGCTTTGTGTCTCTCTGGTTTAAGTGTTGAGACCATATCTATATCTTAGAGTTTGGAAGAATACCTTCTTCTTTTTATATTTTTGCAAACAGTTTATGTAATAATGTAATTATTTATTCTTTAAATGTCACATGAAAATATATATGATACTTGGGATGGTGGTTAATTAATTAATTAATGGCTTGTTCAATTTTTTTCTGATATTCAGTTATTTAAGTAATCTATTTTACATTCTGGTAAATTTAAGGGTGTTATAGTTTTATAAATATTCATCCATGTCATCTAAATGAACAGTTTAGCTAGTATATAATTGGGTAAAATTATTTCTGATAGTTTCTTTTATTTCTTCCTAATTTGTTATGAATTATCTTTTTTTCATTTTTATCATAAAATATTTTGTTTTCCTCTTTTTAAAACACAAGAGTTCACTACTATGTAAGTTTAAAAACCAGTTTCTAGTTTTATTTGTTGATTCAATTTTTATGTCAATTTTAAAAATCTATTATTTGATTTTCAAGATTTGATTTTGGTGTTTACTTAGAATTTTTATTTGTGGCTTTTCTAGTTTTTTTAATTATATTCTCATTTCATTGATCTATTGTTTTTCTCTTTGATGATGAACATGTTTAGAGATAAGCTAATACTTTGGCTAAACCAAAAGTTTTGGTATATGTTCTCCTCGTTGCTATTTTCTTTGATGAAATGTTCTATTACTTTCATGATTTAATCTTTGACCCAACAATTAGTTAGGATTAATTTATGTTGCGTCCAATTAATTGTTAATTCTCTCTCAAAAGATCTTCATTGAATGTAATTTTAATGAATTGTGTCATTAAAACATGTTTGATAGGGGCAGCTAGGTGGTGCAGTGAATAGAACACCAGCCCTGAAGTCAGGAGGACCTGAGTTCAAATTCAGCCTCAGATCAAACACTTGACACTTACTAGCTGTGCGACTGGGCAACTCACTTACCCCCAACTGCCTAAGCAAAAAAAAAAAAAGGGTTTGATATTTCCACTTATTTGTGAGGTTTTTATACTTCCAACAAGGTCATTTTCTGTAAATGCACCATTCTAAACTGAAAATTATGTAAATTTTTTCTACTCTGATTTATTAATCCCCGGAGAGCTACCATCTTTAACTTTTCTAAAGTTAAATTATTTCTTGTTAATTTATTTATTTTATTTAATTTATTTCTTAATTTACTTAATTTATTTCTTGTTCATAATTTTATTAGATCTGTCTATGTCTGGAAAGAGTACTTTAAGATCTCTGCTATCCTTTTCCATTTTATAGGCTATTTAATCCTATTCACATTTATAATTATGATTGCTAATTGTGTATTTCCTTCAATCCTCTTGTATTTTTTTCCTCTTTTTTCTTCACCATCTCTTTAAAAAAGAAAATTTCATAAGAGGAGTTTGCTTAACATTGATGATCTATAGGGGCGGCTAGGTGGCACAAGGGGCAGTAGATAGAGTTCTATGCCTAGAGTCAGGAAGACCTGATTTCAAATCTGGCCTCAGACACTTACTATCTATGTGACCCTGCTCAAGAAAAGCCACTTAACCCTGTTTGCCTCAGTTTCTTCATCTGTAAAATGAGCTAGAGAAGGAAATGGCAAAACCACTACATTATCTTTGCTAAGAAAACCTAAATGGGGTCACAAAGAGTTAAACATGATTGAAAAATGACTGAACAGCAACAAATGATCTACAATTTAAATAATCTTTTCCTCTTCATTATCTTTATTCTCTGCTCTGTCCTATACCACTACTTATGTGTTTGATCTTTTTTCTTTTTAACCTCTCCTCTCATACTTCAAACTTTGGTATTGGAATTTATTTTATTTGTCACTATTCCCTTTATTCTGCCCTCCTTCCTAATCTCCACTTCCTTCCCCCATCTCCCTACTGTATTTCTACACCCAAATATTTTTCTTTGTGTATGTAAAATATACTTTTCATCTCAGGAACCTCCATTAAATGAAATAGTAAGTTTCTGCTTATTCTCCTCCTTCCTCCCTACTATAGTCCCCTTTCTCTCCCATTTCCTTATCCTCCAATAACCATTAAAAAATGCATACTGATTTTTAGGCCCTCTGCTTGCTTTACTTAAGTTTCTCTATGACCCTTAAAGCCATTATGGTTCTGAGAGGATACTTGTTCCTTCTATACCTATTATAATCAATACATCATCCTGTAGTCCCTTACAATTGATTAAATGTATTTAATATGTTTCTCTTGACTCATGCACTTGCATTTCAAAGATTCTACTCAGGGCTGGCCTTTTAATGAGCAATGGTTGGAATTCTTCTATTTCTTTAAAGGTTAGTTTTTCCCCCTGTATGATTATTCTCAGTTTTTCTGGTTAAGTTATTCTTGGTTGTAAACCAAGCTTTCTGTGACCTTCTGGAATATTGTATTCTAAGCTCTACATTTTTTTTTAGCGGTGGCTGCTAGATTATATTTTATCCTAACTATGGATTCTCATTACTTGAATTGTCTTTCTGACTGCTTATAATATTTTTTCTTTGAACTGGAAAATCCAGATTTTTTTCTGTAATATTGCTGGGAGTTTTCATTTTGTGACTTCCTTCAAAAAGTATCTAATGGATTCTATTTTCACTTTGCTCTCTAAGAGATCTGGACAGGTTTCTTTAA